GGAAGTGGCGCATTAGAGGCGTGTTCCTGGTCCTGAACTTCAGATTAATAATCTTGTATTAAAAGTGCATTTGGAATGTGTAGTGTTATGCATTATGTGGAACAAGGATAAGGTTCTGAATTTATGGACTTTATGTACACTGAATAGAGTGAAAGAGACTGAAACAGTTTATACTGAGGGGAATGCACCTGTTTAAATGGAAATTGAGAAAAATGCAATCAGCAAGACACACCGAATGTTTGTGTCTTCATTGCTACTGCACTCCATCTCTATTTTCTAGGGGCTGTACCTGACAAGAATTGTATGCCATATGAATATATTAGAATAATGATACAGACAGCACACTTGTACTTACAGGCAATTTTTTCTTCTGAGACATATTCATAGCCTAATTTACCAACACATTTCTCTCATCAGTTAATAACCAGCACATGTTGTTTTGTTTGATGTCTCCTGGCTTGCACTGCTAAAGAATATAAGAATGTAGTCTATATTTATTATTCCTCTTATTTATAATTCCTCACTGAAATATTTTCCTACTGCATTTTTGTTAGCTTCCTAGTCCCGATTAGATGGATGCATGTCACAGAAACAGTCAGTAAATGGCTGTGCGTTTCACTTTAATGGAGATGGGCAAAGAAGCCGGATGCACACATGCTAAACTGGCAAGCCCCACCACCACCACACAAGTAGTACTGATGTATGATGAGGAACATGATAAAGTAACTGGCACTGGGGCTACCTTTTATTGTTATTATTGTTACTACTATTTATTAAGTCTACACTTTTTTTTATATCTAGTATAAAGTGTCTCTATCCAAAACAACAGAGAATCTGAATCCCAGATAAGTTCTCTATGGGGAGTCACTATGGCCATTCAATTTCCTTTGATTTAGTGTCTTTATCATCAGCCTATACAAAGTTTGTCCTGAATGTAAGGCACTGTTTAAAGAAACCCTTACAGAGTTGACGGAATATACAAATTGACTTGAGCCATTTTTAGAGTTAGCAACAAGTTCAATCACAGGATAATTATCAGTGCTGTCTGGCAACAAAGAACCATTACAATAACTCACTATTAAAGAACTCTCATGTCCACTCAGCTCATATTTCCAGTATCTTAATAACTGTTGTATGATTCCCGTAGACATTACTCCTAAACGAGCAAAGAAACATGGTGCCCACCGAGGCTGACGTGCTTGCTCGCTACACTCTTGAATGCCGGCTTTTGTGTTTTTCACTTTTTGTCATGCACTGCTAACCTACAACAGACAGGCATTGCTGGACATTGCTAATCACAGCCTTCTGGAATTCACCAGTATTTTTACACTGGAACTACAACTCATTGTTCGCTCTAGCAGCAACCGCCACCACCCCCAGGAAGGCCCTGAAGCACCAAGCTCGAGTGAGCAGGCTGACCCAGGAGAGCGATCTGGAGACGGAGACACAAGCGCAGCAAGAGGGGAGGGCTCCATGCTAGGCTAAAAGCTCGCGCTAGCCGACCACCACTACCCAGCCTTTTGCTAGCTAACGTGTGGTCTCTGGAAGACAAACTGGACGAGCTAAGAGCCAGGATTACAATACAGCAGGAAATAAGAGAATGCTGCACTTGTTTTCACCGAGACCTGGCTGTCAGTGTCCCAGAATCCGCCGTTCAGCTAGACTCACTCTGTACACCAAGGAGACTGGACTGCAGCCTGCAGTGTCATCCTTTCTACTGTCTTTTCCCCTTTGCTGATTAATAATTTCTGGCAATCCTCTATAGCCAATATTGACAGCAGGATCTCCGTCAATATCCCTGCCTAAACTAGGGTCAACCACAACTACACCGAAGCCACCAGAATTTCCACCATTCCCAGCCGTGGTGCTTCTTGGGCCTGCAGCCATGGCATCACCTGAGCTCTTAGTGGTGGTAGCATTCAGACCCTCAGCAGTGGCAACACCCGAGTCCATAGCAGCAGAAGGCCTATCAGGATGTGCTGCCCAGCCATTACACTGTTCATGAGTCACTTTCTCTGGGCAGGAGCAGATCAGATGCCCCTCCATGCCACAACCAAAACACTTTTCCATCAAAAATCATGCAATTAAACCCATCTACCTTAAAATTAAAAGACAGATTCAGTTCAGGCTTCCGTTACTACCATGAAGACCTGTTTCCATACAACACATTTAAGCAGCAGAGATTTACAACCCAGAGAAACCATTTTGATTGGAGAAACCAGCTGTCTGTACCTGGAGAGAGCTTCAGCCAACATGTCATTTCAATTCCAGCCCCCACCCAAGATTCAATTCACTTCAGTTCAGTTTTATTTGTATAGCACCAAATCACAACAAAAGTCATGTCAGGACACTTTACAAAAGTAAGGTCTAGACCTTACTACTATTATTATTATAGAAGGAAAAACCCAACAAATCCCCCTTGAGCAAGATGATATAATCACTCTGACTACACTGAACCAAATAGTCTCTCAGTTTTTAAAAAATCTCCAACCTCTCTATACCATGATTGGGAGCATCAACATGTATAAAACAAACATGCACCTCTCTGTCTCTGCCTTCTTCTGTCTTGAAGAAAAACTACATTTTTTTCTGATTTATTATCTGTGCCATTGCAACTATCTTCTGCCTTGCCTTGCCTCCATTGATATTTAAAGTCCCTGCTCTAAAATTCTGCATGAAAAAGAAAAAGGGAAGCAAACAAAAACAGAAAAAAATGACACCCTGTGATGCTTGATCATTTTAGGTTACTTAGATATTATGTGTTTTTTTCCACATTTCTCTGTTTTCTAGCTTTAGCCACTTTCCTCAGAGCAGTAATATATTTCTTTAGCTGAAAACTTTTTTTCTCATCAAGAAGATTTACTCCAACATTTTTTTGTAAAGTAGTACATGAGCTAATAAATATGTTAGAATCTGAAAAGTAATCACTGACTGATTTACAAAACATTTCATAAAAAAGTTCACTTATTTCTTCCAGTGTGTATGTCTCCTGCCACCAACTGCAGAGCCTCAATCACAGACTCTGAATCTTAGATGACATCCACCTCAGTATTCACCTGTCTCTGCTGCATTACTGTTCCCTCCTGATCCTCTTTCCCCACACCAGGCTCTGGGATCCTTCTCTCAGTAGATCTCCCAGCCATCACTATATCACTGCTTGCAGCACTGTGTAACACTACATGTGAGTCTACATTTTCTGTTTGTGTGTCTGGATCACCATGTACCTGACTAACTTCGGAAGCGTTAACTACACTAGTGCCAACTGCATCATTGGGGCCGGCGCTCCCTACTGGCCTCTCCTCTACCATCAGTGCCCGTTTCAGCCCCACACTTGTGAGGGCACAGAAAACGTTTGTGTCCTACATCCCCACGTTCAAAACACTTCACGCTCCCTGAGCCGGCATACACCATGTATTAACCCTCTTCATGTCTCACTCGAAATGATACCTCCAAAGTTTGCATCAGACAGTCCAAAAACATGAACACTTGCCTTCAAAGACACTGAACATGTTTCAGCTTATTGTTTTTACAACCAAAACTCACAGTTTTAAATGTGCTTGCAAACTCAACAAACTGCCTCAGCTCTCCTTCCAGCACTTTGTCTAGAATAAAGGGGGGTACACCTGATATGGTAACCCTCGTAGATGAACAGCCAGTGGTGAAACTTGCAAGAACTCATCAATGATAACCAAGCCTTTTTCTATTAGCTGCTTCTCCTTTAAGAACACCACCACAGCTTTATTCATACAAGATACATACAAGAGGTTTCACAACCCACATGCTCCCCAACAGCCAGTAGCACCATTTCCATGCTAACACTTGAATCTGGCATTTAGCTAAGGAAAGATGGGCCTCTATAAAAAAAATAAGGGCCTCCATGAGAAAATAAACTGTGAAGCAGAGGCTAGTGGAATACAGGTTAACATGAGAAGGGGGTAGACCTTTGTCCACAACCAGTAAACCACCAGTTTTCTGTTAGGGCAGAGACACACCAAACCAGCATGAAAGAACTAGCATCAACGTAGACCAACTGTTGTGTCACCTCATGCTGCCTCTGGGCCCGTAGGGGTGAAAAAGTGACATTTTAATAGGAGACACGACGTGACTGACGTTCCAAAAAGCGTTTGTTGGTTTCTTCAACCATATTAAATTTTAGTTGCCGTAAATGTACACTTTCTTCTACACTTCCTCTCAGTCCACATGTGTGCAACATCCTTCAAACACCGGATATGAAGTGAAGGTGTATTTAAATTAACACAGCTGCGGTTGTACTCATTTACACCATCAGTCTTGGTAAATATGCCGCCAAATAAAAAATTGCAGTGTCACAACATTTTCTACAACTGAGGGTAATTTGTGACAGGCTTAGTATAATATCCCCCTAGGTTTGCTGTTACATTAGTAGTAATAGGCATTAATAAAAAAGACACATCATAGCAAAGAGCTACAGTAAGCACTGCAGGTGTTCAGAGGTTTTGCTGAACAGTGCTACTCGGATAACTGTTATCTTAAACAGTCATTGTGGGGTAGAAGCCTACAATGTAATGACCTATGAGGATATCCTTATAGCCCTAGTGAAAGGCATGAAACTTGACACTCATAACACACAGACTGCAAATTCAAAACTCTGACCTTTTCTGCACAGACAAGTCAAATTTAAAATGATTTGGTATTTTCTGATATTGTATGGTGGATGGTACTGCTTTCTGCTGAAAAATTTGCTTTGTTGTTGAGAGAACGCATAGTCCTTTCCACAAATGTAAAAACTAACTAACTAAAACATCGTTACCTTCATTAATCCTGGTCGGCTTACTTTTAAATGAAAAACTTCCATATACATGAAGTAATACACACACACACTTCCTGTACTGGGGAACATGCACAAAGTGGCCATGTCTACTCCCTCCTTTCTGGGCAATTTTATAAAAAAATAATTGAAAACTGAAAATTAACTATAAAACACGTCCACACTGTGTGGATACATCTATGTGTGTACTTACAAGTGGTGGGTTTGTTACAGTTGTGTCCATGTCTGAAGTACTGTGGGTTCTCTATGACAGGGATCCGGGTCATTCCTATCACCACAGTGTCTGGCCCCGCATCCAATGCACAGGGACTGATAATCCCATGGTTTACATGATGAAGGGGACTGGCAGAGTCTTCCTCACCACTTATCACTGCTACTGGTCCTAGAAAGGCAGAGAAAGGATGATTAAGCTTGGAGAATATCTTGTTACTGTCCATGTCACAGACTGGAGGTGAAACAAAAGCCTAAATTTGTGTCAGTGCAAATTGGCTTATTTCCATCCGCCTTGAAGTTGTAAATGGTAGAACTCATGGTTTAGTACTCGGGATGATCTTATTTTCCATTTATTGTACATAAACATTACCAATGTTAATACTGATGTATCCCCTACATAAGGTTTTGAAACTGAAACTAACCCAAAATGCCAAGTACAAGGTATCCATAAAAAAAAAACTGTTTTGCTTTTTGTCTATAAATGGAGACAATTTGGTACTGTGGCACACAATGCAGAATGCTCTGTGAGGTAAAAAAGAGCACTAGAGTAACAGCTAAAGACATAAAGGATTCATTAGACTTGGTTAACATCTCTGTCCATGAGTCAACCATACACAAAATATTGAACAGGCATGGTATCCATGGCAGGACACCATGGGGGAAGCCATTGCTCCCCAAACGACCACCTTGACACACCACAACACTACTGGGAAAATGTCCCATGGACAGATGAAAAAAAGGTTGAATTGTTTGGGAAGAACACACAGCGCCACGTACAGTGTAAAAAGATAAACATGTACCAACATGAAAACATCATCCCAACAGTGAAGTACAGTGGAGGAAGCATCATGATATGGGGCTGCTTTGCTGCCTCCACCACTTGCCATTGTGGAGGGAAAAATGAGTCCCCAAGTTTTTCCAGGTATTCTACAGGATAATGTCAGGAAGGCTGTCCCCAATCTGAAGCTCAGAACAAGCTGGGTGATGCAGCTATGACACTAAACATTGAAGTAAAGCTACTACAGAATGGCTTCAATAACATGAAATCCACCATTTGGAGCGGCCCAGTCAGAGCCCAGACCTCATAGATAGAGGATGTTTAAAGATGAAGAGTTGGGTACTGAGAATCTTTTGAGTCAGACTGAAAGCTTAACAGGTGGAACAGCAGTGAGATGCAGAGGCGGAGGTTTACATAGAGGAGGTTTAAAGGCAAGAGAAGAGCCTAGCAACACAGCAGTAATTTATAAAAACTTACAAAAAGAATGGAACTGAGAGTTGAAAATATTTCTTCAGATGCAGGACTTTATGGTTTCCAGACTATAACATGCAAAAAAGGTTCCCCAGCCAGGAGTCAAGACATGGATGTTGTAGTTACATGGTATGTACCTTAGCCTTTAGGCCACCAGGAAGCTCTGAAATTTCTATTTTCAATTGTCTTTCATCATCTTCATTTGATGCCTATCTCATGAAAAGATAAAATAATACTAATGAGTAAGATAATACTAATTAGACATAATGGCAGAACAACAAAGCAGGCCATAATACCTGGCCCTAATCCCATTATTCAATTCCTATGAAAGGACAACCAGCCAACAACAGACTTCCAAAATAACTGAATCAGTGTATAGAGTATACTACTATATGTAGTAGGCTTGACATGAATCGAGTTTATGCTGGTACACATTGACTCCTGGAAAAAGACATGCAGGGAAGTCTGACACTGACAAAGGTTTTCATACTGTTCTGTCTACTCACCTTTTATATGATGCAAACCTAACTACCGGCTAAATAAATTATAGCATTTCAACCATAAATAGTGTTAAAAACACCTGATTACTGTGTGACAAAGTATAGCTTTATGCAGTGCTGCAGGAGACATGTTTACGAGGCTTACTTTAGCTGTATATGCTGCTGCTGATGGTACCATTCAGTACATCAGTATCAGTACAACTCGGGCAAAGTCGTTCAAACTCGCTTGCTGCTGCTGGTGTCAAAACCTGTACAGACTCACTCTACACTTCCCAAATCTGCTGATACAGAAGGATATGAGCTGTTGTTCAAACTCATTCTGCTGATTCTGCAACTCTGGTACTAAACTCGTTCTCCCTCCATACTCCCTGTGTGTATTGATGCTGCACCAGCTGCGGATGGGAGTAGGGCTCCTCTCCTTCATTCATGTACCACAGTCAGAGTAGAGTAGAACCAGTGTGTTTGATTTAGAAAACTTTTTTATTTTATTATTTATTTTATTTATCCTTTGATGAAGAGCTATTACAGAAAACACTAGAGAAATGCATTTCATGGCAAAAATGCGTATGGATGCTGTGATGCTAAAGGATCGCCCTGAAAATGCCTGAAATCAATTGCTGAAACAGCTGAAGGATGAGTAGAAATTGCTGAATTTCTTTGTTAAAAGAGTTGAGAAGAAATGGCTGAAGTTCTTTGTTGAATAATCTGAAGGATGAGATTCAATAAATACAGGCAGGAATGTCGTTGAAGAGCTGAACATTTTGATACCTGAAATACCTGAAAGTATGCTGAAGTAGAATATTTTCATTCATTTCAATGGAACAAGACTTTTCAGAATAAAACTAAATAGTCTAAAGTATGAAGTTTAGAAAAATTCTGAACAGAAGCATGAAGGTCCTTTAGGAGCTGAATATTTTGATACCTGAAATACCGCTGAAAGTATGATGAAGTAGAATTTCCCCATTCATTTGAATGGGGCAAGATTTTTATAATAAAGCTAAATATTTCAAAAGTGTGAAGTTTAGAAAAATTCTGAAGAGAAGCATGAATGTACTTGAAGAGCTGAACATTTTGCTACCTGAAATAGCTGAATTTATGCTGAATTTGAATATTCCCATTCATTTGAATGGGGCAAAATTTTCAAAATAAAAATAAATATTTCAAAGGTATGAGATTTAGAAAAATTCTGAAGAGAAGCATAAATGTATTTGGAGAGCTGAACATTTTGATAGCCAAAATAGCTGAAAGTATGCTGTGTAGAATTTCCTCATTCATTTGAATGGGGCAACATTTTTAAAACAAATAAATATTTCTAAAGTATGAAGTTTAGAAAACTGCTGAATGGCAGCATGAATGTCCTTGAGGAGCTGAACATTTTGATAGCTGAAAGTATTCGGAAGTAGAATTTTCCCATTCATTTGAATGGGGTAAAAATTTTCAAAATAAAGCTAAATATTTTAAATGTATGAAATTCAGAAAAGTTCTGAATAGAAGCATGAATGTCCAAGAGGGGCTGAACATGGATAACATAGGCTGGACAGGATAACATAGTGTGGGTGCTTCGCATCCACACAATAATAATAATAAAGAACAGGATAACATAGTGTGGGTGCTTCACATCCACACAATAAACAACAGGATAACATAGTATGGACAATAAATAAAGACCAGGATAACATATTATGGGGGCTGAATCAGCATCCATACGATAAATAAAGAACAGGAGAGCATAGTGTGGATGCTGTAAAGTATCCACACAAGTACACGTTAAAATGAACAGTTGTACTGACTGTCAGATCATGCTATTTTCTCTGTCCTTTAAAATGGACTTAAATTACTCCATAGCAATCAGTTGTGATAGTAAAGCACAATGATACACAGTATCCAACTTCTTAAGAGAATCTTTGATTCATAAAAAGCAAATCACCATAATCCAATAAAGGTAAAAAGGTTGGCAAAATCAGATATTTCCTTGTCTCAAAGGAAGAACAAGGTTTGTTCCTAAAAAGGAAACCTAGCTTAAGTTTTATCTTAGAGACAAGGTTTTCAATGTGTGGTTTAAATGACAAGTTCTGATCAGTAGTAATACCCAAATACTTATATATTGTGACAAATTCAATTTGAATGCCTTGTGCAGTTAAAATCGTGGGAAGATCTGTTGTCAAGTTTTTGACTTTAGATTTATCAGCATATAACACCAACTTGAGCTGAGCTAAATGAGACTAAACAACATCAAAGGCAAACTGGAAGAATTTAAATGTCTGTACTTATGAAGAGGATAAACAATAGATAAGTATGTCATCTGCATAGAACTGAAACACAGCATTTAATAAGTTATTGTAGCTGGTAGAATCTGATAGACTAAATTAATTCAGACAAATCATCCCAATTTAAATATTCATTTAGCATCAGGCCTGCACATAGCTGAGACACAGAAGTCAGACATCCTCTATCATTCTAAGCCCACCACAGTCAGAGAAATGATGACATTTTTGGGACTGATTAATTTCAGTAAGAATTTTGTACCTGACTTTGCCAACTTGGTGGCACCTCTCCGTGCCATGTTGACAGAAGCAGGTTACAAGAACTATGGTTCTGCTCTGGTGTGGAACACACAAGCAGAAAAGGCTTTTGTGGACATCAAACAAGCTTTGTCACACGCATGTAGTTTACATGCACCTGACTACTCTCAAGCTTTCCACTTGGATGT